AAAAATTTCAAATGAATATTTATTCCTTAATCATGGTATACATCCTGAGATTTTAAAAAGAGCTAATCACAATTAATGGAATTTCTGTGATTTTTACACGAGTATTTTACATAGGTGATATAATAAAATGGAGATCTTTTAATCAGTGTGGTACGGTATTTATTTTTAAAAAATTTATTAATTAAATAAATATAATTTTTAAAAAAAATTTATTATAATTTTTTAAAATATAAAATTGAAATTTTTGAGATTATTAACTAAGTGAATAGTTTTTAGTCAATTAATAAAACTTGTAATAATTATTAATAGTTCTAATAATAGCAAAAATATTAAATTTGGTCTAGTAAATTAAAAGATATAAATAATTTATATTTTGCAATATATTAATTTTTCTAAAAAACTTTTATATAATTACAAAATATAAATTGTGTATAACTTTGATTTACTAAACTAAATTTAATATTTTTACTATCATTAAAACTATATTGAAGGTTGCTACAATTTTTATTAAATATTTAAAAACTAATTACTTAGTAAGTAATCTTAAAAATTTTAATTTAATATTTTAAAAAATTATTATTTTTTTATTTCATTTATAAATTACTAATAACTTTAATTAATAAAAATAGATAAATTTATAAAATTAGATAAATTTATCTTATATTATTATATTTTTTAACTACTTAAATATATCAAAAAAATAACAAAACATCAAAATTAAAAACTTTTACTTTTTATATCTAATAATTTGTAAAAAATTTATATACCACAATTTATATGCTGTAATTTTAAAAATTTGACATAACATGGCCTCACCTTTGAAGATTAAAAAAAAAAAAATTTTGACATAACCAATCAGAGTGCAGAAACTTGACAATTTGACCAATTAAAACAAATCGAAATATTCACAATCGAAATAATATTTAACCGTCCATGATGCTAGTTAAAATCATCCATGCCCTAATACCTATGAAAGATGCACCAATCAAACCTCTTAATAATCGGCATAAATAAGATTTTAGGCGTAATATAAAAGTTACACCACTTTTGCGCTTTTCGGTAAAAAAAAAATCCATACAAAAATTGATATAAACCAAGCCTTGTTGCCTAAAATAATGTTTTATTATTTTTAAAAAAAATTGCACAAGTTCTATTGTTTGATTGATGCCGATCATACGAAAAGGGGTAGCTACGGGTAGAGTTTGGAACCGATTTTATTTTTAACATGTTAAAACTGGTTTAATATATGACTCTAGTCATAATCATCGACGGTTACGTCCATCGGGCACCGTATCACCGCATTCTGGTTCAACTTAGCTTTTTACTTCGGACATTATACAACATAAAATACGAGCGTGGCTAACGAGAATTTTCGGAATATAGTTTATTATATATTAATATATTTAAATTTAAGATAATAACCGATTAAGTCGTATCAAAATTATCGACTTGGCTAGGTTTGAAAGTTTTTAATCGACTACAATCACTACTCAAACTTACATTTTTATCATTTAGCAGCAGCGAATTCACCTGCTTTACCAGTCTATAGAGAAATAATAATTAGTCAAACTATTTTATAAAAGTTGCAAGTGATTACATCAACAGAAATATAGTAAGACAGACCTGAAGCAATCCAATGATCAAACCAAACAATCCAAGAACGCTTCCAAAAATTTCAACAACAAGGATTTTTACAAATAACGTTGGATCTTGCGCATCAGCCAACGCAGCTGTACTTCCTGTGATACCTACTGCAATCCCACAGAACAAATTGCAAAATCCTACCGTTATACCACCCCAAAAGAGAGCGTATCCTATTCGAATAAAAAATTATTGTAAATAATCATAACTTTAAGAAAATATATGGTAATCAAATGAATTAATTACCTGTAAAATAATTTGACGGTGTGTACAGATCTTTTGGATCAATGTTTTGTAGTTTCGCAGAAAAAACAATGGCCATAATCACACCGTAGATAGCAACTACTTCACAAAAAATGATGCTACATTTTTTAAATAGAAAGATATAAATTTGTAAACGAGCTGACTTAGAAAGGTAATATTCGTATTCTTGTTTACCTTATAAGATTTTTAGTCTTAATCCTCGGTGCTTTAACGGCACCACCGAGAATACTTGACCCTGTAATGAAAATACCCCTGAAATAAGGAATAAAAAAAATAAAAGTTGCAAGCTTTCTGTAACAAGGTATTCGTGAATAAGTTAAATAGAAACACGAAAAATTTTACCATGCAGCCCCGACAACACTAAGACCTATACAAAAGGCTATTCCAAGTAATGCCCATAGGTAAGGACTTGTAACTAAGATAAGGTAAGGACTTGTAACTAAGATAATCATCTGTAATAATTGTGCGAAATAGGATGATGCTAAATTTTGACTTATTTTAATAAGCATCTCGGTTATTAAATCCGATTGGTCAGTTATCACATATACATCAATTTGAAGATTGTTACACACTCAATCAAATTTCTAACCTTACATTACACGACGTGATAATTTAGAACTTTATTAGTTGAAGCTATATAACATTAGTGAAATTAGTGAATTTTCACATTGAGTGATGTCAAAAATTTTACTAATGAATCGGGAATGTTGTGACTACTAAAATTAAGTATCGGTATTATGCGGCTTCATGATTAAATACAATGACGATTTATAATTGTTATGCCATATTACCATTAATTTTTAATAAATGAATAATATTCCTTAATTCGTCAATAATGCGGCCAATCAAAAAAATCGAGGTAAAATTTTGGTTCATTGATAATGATCTAGCGCTAGTACGTACTCAAATTTCGTGATTTTATAAAATGATACGTACCAAAATTATCAAGATCTGATTACTAAATCAAAAATATATGATACGAATCTAAATTGATTTTAATATAACCAGATATATATAAATTGGTTTTAATTCAACCTGTTATCGTTATAAATTGGAATTATATTTTTACATATGCCAAGATTGGATACGTAATCACAAAAAAGTAAAAGATAATTATAAAATTAGAAAGTGATAATAAAAAAGTTCAAAAGTAGATTATATAATAGACAATATGGTTTTACAATACGCAAAAAATTTACAATATATAAATGTTTATTATTTAACAAGCTTTGTAAACATATAGATATATAAGATTGCAATAAGTACAGTCGACTCTCTCTAAGTGCAGCTCGCCGGGACTTGGAAAATTTTCTTAAGTAAAAAAACAAATCCTGCACTTAAAGAGAACCTGCATTTAGAGATTATATGTTTGTTATAACCTTATATAGCTTGGGATCGAAGCTAAATCTGCAATTTAGAGAGGATTTAATATGACCTGTATTTAAAGAACATGCATTTAGTAAGAGCCGACTGTATCTTTAATATCCATATAAGCTTATATATTGATGTAATTAATCCAAATTTACATATCAGAATAATTTTACTTGTAGGCTATTTAGTACAAAAATACATTATATATATAGTGTATTTGCCAATTCTAGCTATAACAATCAAAAATAAAAATAAAATATTTTTTTATTAAAATTTATTGTATATTTTTACTCATAATTTAAACATATTTAAATTTATGTTAATAAACTATGATTTGTTTTATGATCAAACTAACTAGTGTTCCGCAAAAAAGATCCGAACGGATCCGGAATTTTTAATGAGTATCGAAGTAGCATTTTACAAAGGATACTTGAACTAAAAATGTACATATAATTAATATGGAACACACTCTACGGGCAACAGGCTCTACTTGTCTCTCACATGTACCATTAGCCAGTAGAAGTCTTTCAAACTCGCTACATAAACCGGATCCGGATCGGATCCAATGGCGATAGAAGCATGTGAGAGGCAAATGGTACCTATTGCCGATAGTGTGTTTTCCATATTAATTATACGTACAGTTTCAGTTCTGGTATCCTTTGTGAAATGCTCAATTTATACCCGTCAAAAATACCGGATCCGTTCGGATCTTTTTCTGCGGAACACTAAAACTAACCTATATACAATATGTTTGTCCTTATGAATCTAAAAAACATATGCATATTTCTGTATCTTAAACTAAAGATGCTGGTAAAATGAGTAGTGAAATAATTTCACCACTATGGGTAAAATTGGTAAATTTGGTAGAATCAAACAACCAGATGCTAAATCATGTTAACATTACACCTGACCCTAATTTGGAAATAAATTTTGATCAATGCGTGGTAACTTTTATCGTTATCGTTATCGTTTTATTAATAGAGATTAAAATCAAATAAATATTATATCGTTATAGATTAATTAGAGCTCAAGTTTAACGAACTTTTACAATATTGACCATGGAAATTGAGTCATCAGAGTTAGTAAATTGAAACTATCTAGACGCCTTTGTAATTTTATTTTTTAACCATTTCATTTTCAACAGCATAATTCGACTGATTTTACAGTTTTTGAAAGAAAATAATCTTCCCAATAGTCATGCCGCCTTACAGGTTCGAAAATAAGCCCAATTTTCTTTTTTGAAAATTAAAAATTAATTGCGAAATTATTATTGCATTTGCTTCGATTTCAGGAAGAATCCACGATCGCTCTCAATACAGTGGAATCTATGGAATCTTTCACCAATGAAATTATACAAGGGCATTGGGATATCGTGTTAAGAACAGTATCTAACCTGAAAATACCACAACGTAAATTGATCGATCTATATGAACAGGTTTAATAGCTCTTTAGATCAATATATTTTGCAGTGTTAATTCAAATATTAATAAGCATTAATTTGATATCAGATTGTTTTAGAATTAATTGAAATGCGAGAGCTAAGTGCAGCTCGAACTTTATTAAGACAAACAGATCCCATGCAGTTTCTAAGAGATCATTTTTCGGAAAGATATTTACATCTAGAGCATTTGCTTTCGAGAACATGGTTTGATCCAAAGGAGGTAATTTCAATAATTTCAATAATTTCGATAATTTCGATAAATTGTGACCAATATCAATAATTAATTTACTATTTACGTTTACATTTACATAGGCATATCAACCTGGCATGACAAAGGAAAAGAGGCGCCAGATAATTGCTCAAGGTTTGTTATAAATTTGATCTATTATCATTATTATTATTTTTTTTTTTTTTTTAAAAAAAAGGGATTTATTTTTTATAAACCACACATAAGCACTCTCTAGCGAAGTGACAGTGGTTCCGCCATCTAGACTCCTTACTCTTCTTGGACAAGCCTTGAAATGGCAACAACATCAAGGATTGTTGCCCCCAGATACTGCCTTCGACCTTTTTCGTGGATCTGCACCAACCACGAAGGCAGAAGATGATGCAGTTCCTACAAAATGCTACGCTACAATTAAGGTTGAAATGATTACTTATACGTAAATGAATTATTAATACCATACTAAATAATCAAATATCGGTAAATAGTTTCCTAAGAAGCATCATGCAGAGTCCGCAACATTTTCACCTGATGGTCAGTATTTAGTGACAGGTAATATGGATGGATTCATTGAAATATGGAATTTTTTAACTGGCAAACTTCGTAAAGATCTTAAATATCAAGTGGAGGTTCGTTTTAAATCATAATTTTATTGTTAGGTTTAAAATCTGATCATGATTAAAAATTATTACCGTAATAGTTTTTAGTGTATGTACATCTTGACTTATCTTTCCGTATATCTTGATATAGGATAATCCTATGCTGATGGAAGATCCAGTACTGTGCCTTAGTTTTAGTAGAGATAGTGAAATGCTTGTTTCTGGTGCACAAGATGGGAGTATAAAGGTGAGAATTGTGCAAGAATATATTACTCTCGTTATCTCTTATTAAACCTTGTAAAATAATAATAATAATAATAAAAACACGTATATTGTTTAGGTCTGGAAAGTACAAACAGGTCAATGTACTCGGCGCTTTTCTCCTGCACATAGTCAAGGTGTTACGTCTGTGTGTTTTAACCGTGATGGTAGTCAGGTTTTAAGCTCGAGTTTTGACCATACAGTCAGGTTTGTTGAATTATATTTTAATTGCATTATCACATAATATTAAAATCTTATTAATGTAT